GTGAGATTGTCTAAAAAAAATTAAAAATAAAAAAAATAAATGGAATCATGTATGTGATATTCTGACTGGTTTTTCTGACTCAGTATACCTTTGAGAGCCATTCATGTCTTATCAGTAGTTTGTTCCTTTTCCTTGGCATGTGGTTCCCTTGAATGGTGTCCCATGGATGGATGGATGGGCCAGAGACTCCTTACCCACTCACTGAGGGACATCTCGGTTGTTCGCAGTTTTGAATAAAGCATTCATCTGCATGTGGGTTTGAATGTAAATTTTCAGGTGAACGTAAGTTTTCAGTTCACTACTTGAGTAAACACCTAGGAGTGAGATTGCCGAGTTGTATGGTAAATCACTGTTCAATTTTGTAAGAAACTGCCAAAATGTTTTCCACAGCTGCTGTATGTTTTACATTCCTGCCACAATGAATGAGTTACTGTTTCTCTGAATCTTCACTGATAGTTGTCAGGGGTGTGTGTGTGTGTTTAGCTCTCTAATAGGTATGTAGTAGTATTTCATTGTAGTTTAATTTGCATCCACCTTTCGATGGACCATATTGAACATCTTTCCATACGTTTGCTTTCTGTCTACGTATTTTCTCTTTTTTTTGAGACAGAGTTTCACTTGTCACCCAGGCTAGAGGGCAATGGCACAGTCTTAGCTCACTACAACCTCTCTCTCCTGAGTTCAAGCAATTATCTTGCCTCAGCCTCCCCAGTAGGTAGGATTATAGGTGTATGTCACCACGCCTGGCTAATTTTTATATTTTTAATAGAAACGGGATTTCTCCGTCTTGGTCAGGCTGGTCTCAAACTGCGGACCTCAGGTGATCTGCCTGCCTCGGCCTCCCAAAATGCTCGGATTACAGGCATGAGCCACGGTGCCCGGCCTATTCTGCTAATTTTTAAAATGGGGTTATTTTCTTATTAAGAGTTCTTTATATCCTGAATATGAGTGCTTTGGCAGGTGTGTAATTTGCAAATAATTTTATCTTAGTCTGTGCGTGTCTTTTTCTTTTCCTAACATTGTCTTCCACAGAGCAAAAGTTCTTAATTTTGAGAAAGTCCAATTTATCAAATTTTTTTCTTAAATTGATCAGGATTTTGGTGTTGTATCTAACTCATTGCCAAACCCAGAGTCCTACAGGTTTTCTTTGGTTTTCTTCTGAAAGTTTTATCATTTTTTATGTTTAGGTCTAGTTTTGATACGAGGTGAGAGGTATGTGTTGAGATCACTTCTTTTGCTCCTGATTATAAAATTATTCTGACATTATTTGTCGAGAAGACTGTGGAATTGGTTTTTGTACTTTTGTAAAACAATTGAGTATGTTTGTGGGGGCTTATTTCCAAGTTCTCTGTTCTGTTCCATTAATCTGTGTTTTTACCCTTTCACAAAGGCCAGAGAGTGGTAATTACTGTGGCTGTACAGGAAGTCTTGAGATCAAGTAATGTGAGTCGTTTTTATGTTTAAACTATTTTGAACATAATTGTGCCTCTTTTGTAGGCAGCATATGGTTGCTTTATATTTTCCACTTCTGTGCTTTTGCTTCATTATGAATTTTTTCTACCTTCCAATTCATTGATTTACTTTTCATCTTTTTTTGTGATCTACTCTTAAGCCCATCCATTGACTTCTTTACTTATTATGCATTTTATCTGTAGGAGTTATATTTCATTCTTTTTCAAATTCTGCTTATTCATTTGTATAGTCTTTTGATTCTTTTTTATACTTTCATTAATGTATTTTATTTCTTTGAATATATTAAATATATTTATTTTATATTCTGTGCTGACAGTTCAAATATCTCAAGTCTTTTATACCTCTCCTGTCTTTTTTAAAAATTATATTTCTCAGGCTTGGCAAGGTGGCTTACACCTGTAATCCCAGCACTTTGGGAAGCTGAGGTGGGCAGATCACCTGAGGTCAGGAGTTCGAGACCAGCTCAGCCAACATGGCGTAACCCCATCTCTACTAAAAGTACAAAAATTAGCTGGGCGTCATGGCACATGCCTGTAATCCCAGCTATGCGAAAGGCTGAGGCAGGAGAATCGCTTGAACTCGGGAGGTGGAGGTTACAGTGAGCCGAGATTGCAGCATTGTATTCTAGCCTGGGCAGTGGGGCGAGACTCTGTCTCCAAAACAAAATATGATTTTTTTCTTTGAGACAGAGTTTTGCTATTGTGGCCCAGGCTGGAGTGCAATGGCGCGATCTTGGCTTACTGCAGCCTCCGCCTCCCAGGTTCAAGCGATTCTCCTGCCTCAGCCTCCCGAGTAGCTGGAATTACAGTTGCCAGCCACCAAGCCCGGCTCATTTTTGTACTTTTAATAGAGACGGAGTTTCGCCATGTTGGCCGGGATGGTCTCGAACTCCTTACCCCAGGTGATCCACCCACCTCGGCCTCCCAAAGTGCTGGGATTACAGGCATGAGCCACCACGCCTGACTGATGTTTATTTTTTATGTGTGCATTCTGGTTTCTCTTTTATTCTACTCATTTTCCTTGAACTTTATTTGTGAGCATTATTTGGACCTCTTTCTCTAATTAGAATATGCATTTGTTTCTGCCAGATGCCGAATGCACTTCTACCTCAACACACTTCTCTGTGCGTACGGTTTTGGCAAAACACATCTCTACTGGAGTTCAGCTCACACACCCACATCAGTCTAGCTTGTTATAATTCTCAGAGGACAGTTTTGACATCTTTGTGTGACACCAACATTTGAGGCAAGAAATTAATTTTCTTTGATTTCTGCTTTTCACTGACCCAAACACAGGGTACTCCTTATACGTTCCAGCTTTGTGAGGGAAAACAACCTATGAGTCCCCTATGCTTGGTCTTATTCTAAGCTTTCCTCCTTTCTTCTGTGTCCTTTGTACCTGTTGGGACTAGAATGCTCAAAGTTACTTGAGTCCAAATAAAGGCTGGCCTCTGCTTACATGTCTAGGTTTTTCGCTTTTAGAGACCAGGGTTGTTCCCACCACTCTCGCTCCCTCTTAGGTTTCTGAGCTGTTCCTCTCTGAGATAATACACTTTGTTTCCGTGCCTTTGCTCCTACTGCTGCCTTGAGAGTGTCCTTTTCCTCATCCCCCTCTGTAACCAGGACTCTCTAAAGACCCTTCATGAGCCTTACTTGTCTTTATAGCACCTGACCCAGTGTTGTCAAATTCAATGTTTTTATTCCTGTTTTGTCTCTATATTCTGTAAATGCTAGTTCCTTTTTTTTTTGAGACGGAGTTTTGCTCTTGTCACCCAGGCTGGAGTGCAATGGCGCGATCTCGGCTCACCGCAACCTCCGCCTCCTGGGTTCAAGCAGTTCTCCTGCCTCAGCCTCCCAAGTAGCTGGGACTACAGGCATGCGCCACCATGCCCAGCTAATTTTTTTTGTATTTTTAGTAGAGACGGGGTTTCACCATGTTGACCAGGATGGTCTCGATCTCTTGACCTCGTGATCCACCTGCCTCGGCCTCCTAAAGTGCTGGGATTATAGGCGTGAGCCACCGCGCCCAGCCTCCTTTTTTTTTTTTTTTTTTTTTTTTTTAAAGACAAACTCTCGCTCCGTCGCCAGGCTGGGCTGGAGTGCAGTGGCACAATCTTGGCTCACTGCAACCCCCTCCTGGATTCAAACAATTCTTCTGTCTCAGCCTCTCAAGTAGCTGGTAATGCAGGCATGTGCCATCACACTCAGCTAATTTTTGTATTTCCATGTTTGCTAGGCTGGTCTCCCACTCCTGACCTCAGGTGATGTGCCCACCTCAGCCTCCCAAAGTGCTGGGATTACAGGTGTGAGCCACCATGCCCGGACGGCTCCTGGAACCTTAATTGCTCAATATGTGTATATTGGAAGATATCTGAAATAGTTGGCCAGTTGGGAGCAGAATGGCTCCCAGAGGGAATAGGGTGATTTTATTGTTGTTGTTGTTTGTTTATTTATTTATTTGAGACAGAGTCTGGCTCTGTTGCCCAGGCTGGAGTGCAGGGGCACAATCTTAGCTCACTGCAACTTCCACCTCCCAGGTTCAAGTGATTGTCCTGCCTCAACCTCCCTAGTAGCTGGGATTACAGGCCCCCCCACCACACCCAGCTAAGTGTGTGTGTGTGTGTGTGTGTGTGTGCACATTTGTGTATTTTTAGTAGAGATGGGGTTTTGCCAGGTTGGTCTTGAATTTTTGACCTCAGGTGATCCCACGTCAGCCTCCCAAAGTGCTGGGATTACAGGTGTTGGCCACCGCGCCCAGCCAGTGACTGAGAGATATTGCTGGCAGAGGCCAAGCATGCTGAAGGGCTTAACTGCATGGGACAATGTTGCTTAGTTAAGAATTGTTCTCAAATACCAGTAGCACCTTCTTTGAAAACCACTATATTGTTTAAAAGACAACGTATTTTGGTTTCTTGTTCAGTGCGTAGGTAGATGGATGAATGAATTCACAATGATAAATACTTTAAAAACATTTCTTCCTCAAAGTCTAATGCAAGATTATTATATTCATTATTGTGTAACAAATTACCCCAAACCTCAGGGGCTGAAAACAACAAACATTTATCTCACAGTGTCCGGGCTTAGGGATCTGCCAGTTGCTTACCCAGTTGGTTCTGGTGTAGGGTCTCACATGATGCAGTGATGAAGGTGGTGAGAAGGGCTGCAGTCATCACAAGGTGCAGCGAGGAGCCCTCCAGGCCCACTCTGTTCCATGCACGTGAGCTCCACATGGCTGCCTTACAACACAGCAGCCAGACTCCTCTAGAGACTGAGAGTGCCCGGGTTCGAAGTTGCATTCCTTTAGAACCTAATCTTGGAAGTGGCATCTCATCGTGTTGCCCTGTTCTCTTCAAGAGAAGTGAGTCAGTGAGTCCAGCCCACAATCAACAGGGAGAGATTACACAAAAGCATGAATATCAGAGCCAGAGGTCAGTGGGGCTGTCTTGGAGGCTGCCTACACAAATACAGAAGAAAATATTGTACAAGACCCAATGAGAACCACTTCAGGCTTAACAAGGGATTGTGCTTTTCCAGATATCTTTTGAGGATGTGGCTGTGGATTTCACGTTGGAGGAATGGCAGCTACTTAATCCTACTCAAAAGAACTTGTACAGAGAGGTGATGTTGGAGAACTATAGCAATCTGGTTTTCTTGGGTAAGAACTTTCTTCTTATGTCACTTAGTGTGTGGCCATTAACCGTTTGGCCTGTGAGGTGTTTGTTGATTTTGGATGTAAGTTTTACATGTCAGAGATTATCTGACTTTTAAACTAAATGGAAAGATTTTTATTCACTTGCTTTATTTCACAGCCTTTGTAAGAAAACATTCTTCATATTTAAGTCTCTTAGCCCAAGCAGTAAGGTCCAAGTCCTCTGTATTTCCAATTGACAGGTTATCAAATTATCAAACCTGATGCAATTTCCAAATGGGAACAGCAAGATCCATGGATAATAGATCAAGAAATCCTAAGTCAAAACTTTTCAGGAGAGGAGTAACTAGGCATATGAGATACAGTGAAATTTAGTTTCAGGTTTTTGATGGCAGGTGGGCACTTTTAAAATGTTGCTTATAAACCTGTGTTTAAAGTTCCTGAATCTTTAGAGTTGACTCAAGATCGGTGACGTGAGTTTTATTGGATGCGCTCTGTATCCTGGGCTCCACATCAGGATGTGTCTTTTCTACATGGAGTTTATGATGAAATATATCCCCTCTTATTCAGTGGCACAGATGGGTGGCCATTTAGAACCCTGCTTTCTTGGTCAACACTTTCTATATGAATTTATGGTTTTTTTCTTCTTTTAGATAACACTGATTACCTTTGAGTTTATTTAAACTTGAAATGTTTATTATTTTTCTTCTCTTCTCATTTGATATATTTCTGTTTTAAACCCACAGAGAGTAGAAGATGAACCCATTGATATAGAATGAAAGTCTAGGAGGCCAGGCAGAGTACCTCATGCCTGTAATCCTCATGCTTTTGGGGCTGAGGGGAGGGCAAGGCGCTACAATCGCTTAAGGCCAGGAGCTTGAGACCAACCTGGGCAACAAAGCAAGACCCCATGTCTGCTACTGCTGCTAACTTAGCCAAATATGGTGGTGTGTGCCAGCTACATGGGAGGCTAAGGTGGGAAGATTGCTTGAACCCAGGAGGTGGAATCTGCAGTGAGCCATGAGTGTGCTAGGCAACAGAGTGAGACCTTGTTTCTAAAAAAAAAAGACACACTCAGAAAAACCCTGCTACCTTAAATATAGTAAGGAGATTTTGCTTCTTGCCTTCCTCTGTACAGACTAAGAATTTTCAAGTCAGTTCCCAATGCATCTTTCTGGTACATTTGATGTTTAACCTCTCTAAAGCTTCTCTCTTATCACATCAAATAGTCAGGTGGGTTTAAGTTCCCCATTACCTGCTGGGTGATATTTAATCTCCGTTTATGTTGAAGAACCTCATGGTATGGGAACATTTTATCTATCCAGTTATTTTTCTGTGCCCAGATGTCATTAATAACTCCAGTTGAACTAGATTCTTACTACTCTTCTGAAATTTTTCTCTGCACCTGTGCCTTTGATGATGGTATACTTTTCCTATGGTAGACTTCACTTTGAGCCTTTTTTTTTTTTCAACTCCAGTGAATGTTCCTTGACTCACAGATTTTTCTGAAATCTCTACCCACTTAGCACCTATAATATAGTAACTCAGGCCTGATAAGACATTATCCAAAATTGCTAAAGCAACTAGGTCCTAAGGTATTTTTCCCTATAAAGAGAGATGGCAAGTAACGTAGTCTATGTTCTCTGTGGAATTTCTGGTATGCACTTATTTGATTTTTAAAAATTGGTTATTATGGAGCCAGATAAGGAAAGGCCTTATTTATCAGATGTCACTTTAGTAGAAAAGTTTCCATCTTAGCATCTACCTTGGGAAATAATTTATTTTTACTTTTTTATTTTTTGAGACAAGGTCTTACTTTGTCACCCAGGCTGCAGTACATTGGCACAGTCACAGCTCACTGCAGCCTCGGCTTGTCTGGACTTACGAGTTCCTTCCATTTCAGCCTCCCACGTAGCTGAGACTACCACCACACCCAGCTAATTTAAAAAAAAATTTTTTTTTTTTATTTGAGAGACAGGATCTCACCATGTTGCGCAGGCTGGTCTCAAACTCTGGGCTCAAGTGATCCTCCTGCCTTGGCCTCCCAAAGGGCTGGGATTACAGGAGGGAGCCTTAATGCACAGCAGAGAACTATTTCACATTACAGATGTCTAGACACCATTCACATTGCTTTCTAGCTCTGAGTATATGTAGTTGGGAGAAGCTGTAAAGATAGATTTTATGTTCCCCTATTAATATAGAACTGCTTCTCACATGGAATGAGAAGAAATGAAAGGAAATAAGAGTCATGAAATAACTTTTTAGGAGCACAGGATTTTAATTTAGAAGATAATATAAAACCATAAAGTATTCAGCAATTCAGTATTTGAACATGCAGCATTTGTGTTAAAGTGCAAAATTAATTATTGAGAGAATGATACAGAAAGGAACTACTTTAGAAGCTCAGTGGTAAGTGAGTAATATTTATCCTACATATATTGAGAACTTGTGCTGTGCAGTGGGGGTACATTAGTGAAAAATACAAATCTGTTTCCTACCCTCATACAGTTTGCATTCTATGGAGAGACAGAAGTAAGAGAGGATTACCTATTTGATAAGTACTATGAAGGAAGGAAAGAAAGGGTATTTGTTAGAGTGCCATCAAAATGACATTTTGGTGCATGTGACATGGTGGCTCATACATGTAATCCCACTGCTTTGGAAGGCCAAGGCAGAACTATTGTTGAGGCCAGGAGTTAGAGGCCAACCTGGGCAACATAGCAAGACACCATCTCTACAAAAAAAAAAATTAAAAATTATCCAGGCATGGTGGCACACAGCTGCAGTCTCAGCCACTTGAATGACTAAGACAGAAGGATCACTTGAGGCTGGGAGTTTGCAGCTGCAGTGAAGTATCACCCCACTTCTGCACTTCTTGGGCAACACAGTGATATCCTGTCTCTAGTAGTATTTTATTGGTAGTAATAAAATATTACTGTTAAGTCTATACATACGCTATTTATTATTGTTTATCATTTAATTCATTAATTTAGATAGACTTTTTTTTTTTTTTTTTTTTTGAGATGGTGACTCACTCTGTTGCCCAGGCTGGAGTGCAGTGGCACAATCTTAATCTTGGCTCATCTGCCTCCCAGGTTCAGGAACTTCTATCTCAGCCTCACAAGTAGCTGGGATTACGGTCACCCACCACCACACCTGGCTAATTTTTTGTATTTTAGTAGAGATGGGGTTTCACCATGTTTCCCAGGCTGGTCTTGAGTTCCTGAGCTTAGGCAACCCACCCACCTCGGCCTTCCAAAGTGCTAGGATTACAGGCATGAGCCACTGTACTCGGCCTCTATTTTCTTTTTGATATGGGGTCTTAGTCACCCAGCCTGGAGTGCAGTGATGCACTCTCAGCTCGCACAACCACAACCTCTGCCGCCTGGGCTCACGTGATCTCCCCAACCTCAGCCTCCCAAGTAGCTGGGATTACAGGCATGCACCACCACACTAAGCTAATTTTTGTATTTTGGTAGAGATGGGGTTTCACCATGTTGGCCAGGCTGGTCTTGAACTCCTGACCTTATGATCTTCCTGCCTTGGCCTCCCAAAGTGCTTCTATTACAGGCATTAGTCGCTCACTGCAACCAGCCTGCTTCATCTGAAATTCTGATGTCTGAGAATCGGATGAGGCATTTTCCTCCTTAGAAAAGAGTAGGGTTTTTTGTTGTTGTTGTTGTTGTTTTCTGTTTTTTGTGTTTTTTTTTTTGAGCCAGTGTCTTACTCTGTCTCCTAGGCTGGAGTGCAGTGATGCAGTCACATCTCACTGCAGCCTGGACCTTTCAGGCTCCAATGATCCACCGTATCTGCCACTTAAGTAGCTGGGACTTTAGGTGTGCACCACCACATGTGGCTAATTTTAGAAAAAAAAAATTTGTAGAGACACGTTCTCCTTATGTTGCCCAGGCTGGTCTTGAACTCCTGGGCTCAAGCACTCGTCCCACCTCAGCTTCCCAAACTGATAGGATTGTAGGTGTGACTTGCCACCAGGCCCAGCCTTGTTTTATGTTTGAGACCATGTCAGATCTTTTCATCTTGCAGAGTACTTCCTGAGAATATTACCCTACAATTGCTAATAAAGAATATCACCCAAAAGTAAATCAACTTTTTAAATATTCAATAAATACTCTTGTAGAAATCACAAACAGTTGTACTCATTGGATAAAAAAAATCTGTCCTTCTATTATACAAGAAAATATTGTGATTAGGAGTAATTTCCAATGATAGCATTACATACAGATACAATATATGCTTTATAGATTCAATTGTAGATCCAATTAAAGGGAAGTTAAATAAGTGTTGATACTGAGCTCTAGAGAACTCTTGGATAATTCAAAAAGGAAGTTTTAGTGATAATGGTAAAGTTACTGACATCACTGATGTAAATAATGATCTCGAATAAGGATATTTTATAGATGCAACAATAGTACAAAAAATTAATGTTTCTCATCTTTCAGGTGTAAAGTTGATATTGTACATTTATTCTGCATTATATCCCTTTTTCTATTATACCATTCAACAGTATATACTAATGTTGCTTTTTTATGTTCTTATTATTCACATTCTTAACCACATTGTGAAGCTTTCTGATGGTGATGTACTTAGGTCTCTTCTCTGAGCTTCTGCTACTAAGTTCTGGACACATCGTAGATAATCATAGATTATAGTCAAAAAAGTAAACTAATCACCTCAGCATTTGATTGGAAATTGCTCCAGGCTCCATCATCTCATGATCACTGTTCCTTGAGTATATTTAATATTTCTTATTTAAACGTTTGTTGTTTAAACATTTGTAACTTAAAAATTGATTTTCTTTTCTGTTAAAATTGTCAATGTGCAGTGAGTACACATTATTTGAGGAATTTTTTTAAAACTGGGATTATGGTGCCATTTCAGAAGCTTTATGCAATAAGCACAATAATTGAAGGAATTACACAGTATGGTTCATTTTTTCTCTTTTTAGAAGTCTGGCTAGATAATCCCAAAATGTGGCTCCAAGATAATCAAGACAACCTTAAAAGTATGGAGAGAGGCAATAAATATGGTGTTTTTGGAAATATATTTAAGTCAAGCATAAACTTTGTTCATTTAGGAATGAGATCCCATACATGTGGCACGGGAGAAAAAAATCTGAAACATCCTTTTGATGTGCTTATTTCTAAAAATAACTGTGAAAGAAAGAAAATTGAGCTCAATAAGAAATTATTATTCTGTATCAAACCTGACAGAACCCATGGTGGAATAAAACACTGTGATTGCAATACATGTAGAAAAACCAGCAGTAAAGAGTCATGGCTCATTGCAAATCATATAACACATACAGGAGTCTATTTATGCATGGAATGTGGCAGATTTTTTAACAAGAAGTCACAACTTATTATCCACCAGAGAACTCATACAGGAGAGAAGCCCTATCAGTGCAGTGAATGTGGAAAAGCCTTCTCACAGAAGTCACTGCTTACTATTCATCAAAGAACTCATTCAGGAGAAAAGCCGTATGGATGCAGTGAATGTCAAAAAGCTTTTAGTAGGAAGTCACTCCTCATTTTACATCAGAGAATTCATACTGGGGAGAAACCCTATGGATGCAGTGAATGTGGAAAAGCCTTCAGTAGGACGTCACAGCTTAAAAGGCATCAGATAACTCACACAATAGAGAAACCCTACAGTTGCAGTGACTGTGGGAAAGCTTTCTCCCAGAAATTAAAACTCATTACACATCAGAGAACGCATACAGGAGAGAAACCCTATAAATGTAGTGACTGTGGAAAAGCCTTCTTTTGGAAGTCACAGCTTATTACTCATCAGAGGACCCATACAGGGAAGAAACCTTATGCATGTAGTGAGTGTAAAAAAGCCTTCAGCAGGAACTCACTTCTCATTAGGCATCAGAGGATTCATACAGGAGAGAAACCTTATGAATGCAATGAATGTGGTGAAGCTTTTATCAGAAAACCACAGCTTATTAAACATCAGATAACTCACACAGGCGTGAAGAACTATCAATGTAGTGATTGTGAAGAAGCCTTCTTTAAGAAGTCAGAGTTAATAAGACATCAAAAAATTCATTTAGGAGAGAAACCATATGGATGTATTCAATGTGGGAAGACCTTCTTTGGGAAATCCCAGCTCCTAACACATCACAGAACACACACCGGGGAGAAGCCTTATGAATGCAGTGAATGTGGGAAAGCCTTCACCCAGAAGTCAAGCCTGATATCACATCAGAGAACACATACAGGTGAGAAGCCCTATGAATGCAGCGAATGCAGGAAAACCTTCAGTGAGAAGTCAAGTCTCATTCATCATCAGAGAACCCATACTGGAGAAAAACCCTTTGAATGTAGTGAATGCAGGAAAGCTTTTGCCTGGAAGCCACAACTTCTTAGGCATCAGAGAATTCATACGGGGGAGAAACCCTATGAATGCAGTGAATGTGGGAAAGCATTTGTTCAGAAAGTGCAGCTCATTAAGCATCAAAGAAATCATACAGGAGAGAAAACCTATGGATGTGGTGATTGTGCAAAAGCTTTCTTTGAGAAGGCACAGCTCATTATACATCAGAGAATTCATACGGGAGAGAGACCATATAAATGTGGTGAATGTGGGAAGTCTTTCACTAGAAAGTCACACCTTATGAGGCATCAGAGAATTCATACAGGAGATACATACTATGGATGCAATGAATGTGGGACCACCTTCAACAGGAAGTCACAGCTTATGATACATCGGAGAAATCATATAATATAAAAATCATGAGTTTCGTGAATGTAGAAAGATTTTTATCAGATGTCATACTTTTTAACACTTTTGAGGATGCATATAGGAGAGAACCCCTATTGACTGTTGAAAAGCTTTAATTGAGGAGTCAAGAGTCACCAAGCAGAATTTAGAAAGGAGAGAAGTTTTTAAAAAGTAAACAATGTAAAAAAGTCATCTCTCTGAAGACGCTACTCGCTACATATTGGATGACTCATTGAGGTGAAAACCTTATTAGTATTTTGATAGTACAGAAGCTTTTAGTCAAGGTAGCTTATTAAATGTTCAGAAGACCTAACCAGGAAGAAAATCCTGTTGTAACAAGCAAATGAAAGATTTCAAGAAAGGCGAACTCACTGTACACTTGAGAATGCCTACAGAAAGGGAATACTGAATTTTGTTTTAGAGGTTCATACTGAAGAGTAGTCTTAATAATTTAAAGAATTTGACAAGCATGATGCTGTTGAAATAGTTTTGTAAGGAAGTGGTGTTCTTTATATATAAATTATTATAAAAAGCAGTCAATTTTTAGTGTTAGGTGTGTTGACTTACGTGTGAGGAGTTCTGCTTTCTGCTGTGATGGAATAACAAGCATCGAATTACCTCTCTTGCCTTAAACAACTAGAAGTTACATAATTAATATATAATGGTTTTTAGACATATGACAAGCACAGATTCGTGATCACCAGGAGATTGTAGACAGAGTGAGGTGAGCACCATGGTTTCTCAGCCAACTCCCTAGTGGCAGTTACTAGGTTGCAGTTCAGGGAAGGGAAACAGTAAGGTTGCTGAACTGAAGAGACAGGATTGGCAGCTGGGGAGGCCATAGCAGCTAGAATTTGCAAGGCAGAGTACTGGAGAGATGGAATCTTCCTAGAAATGGCTCCAGAAGTCTTCTGGGATTTCCCTGAGTCCTTTGGCTTAGTGCTGACTTCCAGTGAGGCCAGCACTAGAAAGCAGTCGTCTGAACAATTCCTGGAACTCATGTTCTCAGCAGCCAGTATGGAAACAAATTCTAACACATGGAGCATCAGGTTGCATTCTTAGAAGGGTTTTGTTTTAGTAGTAAGACTAATTAGCTCTAGATTAAAAGCTACTCTGGACCCATAATGTCTGGCATCTAAGAAACATCTGGCATACAAAGAAGCAAGAAAATATGACTTATAACTCGGAGAAAAATCAACAGAAACCCAGAAAACACAGAGGTGATGGGATAGTAGACAAGTATATTAAAATAGCTGTTATAAATATAAAATAGAGGAAAACAGGCCGGGCGCGGTGGATCACAAGGTCAAGAGATCAAGACCATCCTGGTCAATATGGTGAAACCCCATCTCTACTAAAAATACAAAATTAGCTGGGCATGGTGGCGCGTGCCTGTAATTCCAGTTACTAAGGAGGCTGAGGCAGGAGAATTGCCTGAACCCAGGAGACGGAGGTTGTGGTGAGCTGAGATCGCGCCATTGTACTCCAGCCTGGGTAACGAGTGAAACTTTGTCTCAAAAAAATAAAATAAAATAAAATAGAGGAAAACAATGTTGATGAAACCTGAGGTAAAAAGATTTTTTTTTAAATGTTAAACATTTTATCATGTATTTTTTTAATTCCTGTAAAATGCAGAAAGTGCAATGTCACCAAATGTACATTTCCTAGGATTCATTTTAGAATTCACGTTAAAATTTAATAATGGTATTTCAGTAATTATGGGATTTGAGAAAAGCTACTTATGGGGAAAGATCACATAAACATGCTCTGGGGCGATATGTTACAAAAAAAAAAACAAAAAACTACAATACGGCCAGGCGCGGTGGCTCACGCCTATAATCCCAGCACTTTGGGAGGCCAAGGCGGGTGGATCATGAGGTCAGCAGATTGAGACCATCCTGGTCAACAAGGTGAAACCCCATCTTACTAAAAATATAAAAATTAGCTGGGCATGGTGGCACTCACCTGTTGTCCCAGCTACTCAGGAGGCTGAGGTAGGAGAATTGCTTGAACTCAGGAGGCGGAGGTTGCGGTGAGCCGAGATCGCGCCATTGCACTCCAGCCTGGGTGATGAGCGAAACTCCATCTCAAAAAAAAAAAAAAAACTACAATAATTAGAAGTATTGCCTTAACATTTCTAAAATCACATAAAAATGGTCATCTATGATTGCCATTTCAATAATTTTGGATACAGGGGATGTTATTTTCTGCTCACTAGTAATCAAAACACATAAAACAGACTTGTAACACATATTCAGAGTTGGTTATTTTCATAAGCTAAACATTTCCACAACTTTAAGATTTGTGTTTGAGCATACAGTACTGCAGTGTTGGCTTCGTAAAATAAAAAAATGTTTTTGAGAGGAAGCTTAATAATCAGAGGCTGTATTTAAGGATTTAACACTGGCTATATACAAAAGGGAAAGCATTTCAGTGAGAAAGACTTCACATTACTAAGTTCTCCCCTTTAATATGGCAGCATTCAGCAGCTTATGCTACTCTTTTATCCTTTGGTTCCCAGTGACAAACAATGCAGTAATAATGCCTCTGGTTTTAGTTCCTCTTGGATGACATTTATTAGCAGAGAGAGACCTGATTCTTTAGCTGAAATTTGGCAGCTGAAGAAGTGCACCAACTGCTCCAAAGTATCCCTCATGTTCTAGAAACAATGCTTTCAGTTGACCTTTTGACCAGCAATCCAGTGCATATGCCAAAAGTTTCATTGAGAGGGTACTGACACGTAAAGTTTCCAACAAAGACAACTTGTGTTTATTTTCTCATTAGCAGCACACATTCGTGCCACAGAACCAGTGTTGCTGGTGGTAGTAACTAAAGTAGCTCTTGCCAGATCTTCTTTACTAACAGATTCTCGCTTCTCCTTATAAACCACATTCCCAAAACTAGATGCTACAGCCCAACCTGACAAACCAAATCTTTCATAATCTCCCTAAATATCACAGACCAGCTTGTCAGCTTGTGTGCTGTCACCTTTGGATGCCATTTCAAGAGCCTCTTCCAAAGTTTCACAGCCAGTCAATAAAGTGCATAAACCCAGAAAGGTACCCCTCAAAGGCTCGTCCCAGTCACTCGTTTATGTCCTTGGAATGGACTGCTAAAATACTGAGTCCTAAGCCAGTATTCACTACAAGCAGTGGATAAGGATCATCCAGGTTCAAAGGCACCTTTTGGCGTCACTCAGGCTCTGAGGCATTAGCAAAATGATAGCATTTTGCTTGTCCATTGAAACTGACAGTCTCTATACAGCAAGCCCTTTACAAGGCAGTCAATTTCATCCAGTTTGTGCAGGTGGAGGTTTCCAATTCTGCGAAAATATTTTTCAAACTTGTAAGCACCACCTGCTGTAGCACACATCACCATTTGCAATGTTGAGAAGTTTTTATCTCTTCCCATTTGGAAAAAGTAGGCAGGTCCTGGATTGGAAACCAGATAAAGTGCAAGTTCCTTCTTTGACCAAAAAGTGTTAAATCTTTTAGTTCAAGATGTACATCCCGAATGTCGGTGAATTCATATGCTACATTAGAAGGCATATATTTCCGAATACTTTTTAAACCCTCAGCAACTTCTTTTTCTTCCTCTGCTATGATATCAGTAGGTTCAAAGTACGAGAGCTTTGCTAGAGTTCCTCCACTGTCCATGCCAAACCAGGGGAAAGAGGGTTTCCTGGCATCTTTCTTCTTCATGGCATCAGCCCAAGGGGCAAGGGACGGCCTTGGGTCGGAAGCACTGAGAGCAGAGGCAGCAACTCCAGTAGTGGCTGGACCGCACGGAGGCATGGCAGGTTCCTCCCCTCAGGCCGGGCAGGGCGGGTCTAGGGCGGGTCGGTGGCGCCTGAAGCGATGCCCGGCCCAGGGGGGCGGGGCCCACCCCTATGAAGGGCGGCCAGGACCCAGCGAGCTGGGGAAGGCCAGCGGCCTCGCCGCTCCAGGGCCTCCCTGCAGCCACTCCAAACCAAAGGCCCTGATCCCAGGAGCTGCCACCGCCGCCATACTGAAAAATAATCCCAAAAAGATATTTTTAATGGCCCAAATGGAACTTACAGAGATGAAGACAGAGATGATTTTGTTAGAATCCTGTATGGAGAGATTAAATACAGAAGAAGGAAAAAAGAAATTAGTGAACTTGAAGAGTAAGAATAAAAACTATCAATAAAGAAATTAGTGAACTTGAAGGGTAAGAATAAAAACTATCAAAAGGATATACAAAGAGAAAAAAAAAGACTTACAATAGGAAAACAGTTACAGTGGTGTAATGTATGTGTAACTGTAGACCCATTAGGAGAGGAGAAAATGAAGAGGCATGAAAAAGTATTTGAATAAACAATGGCTAAAAATTTTCCCAATCTTACGAAAACAATACCCCCCACACATTCAAGAAGCTCAAATGACCTGAAGCAGAATAAACATAATTTATATCATAGTGCACCTCAGAAAAACATAATTTATATCATAGTGCACCTCAGAAAAAGCACTGATAAACAGAATAATTTTTAAACACCTTGAGAAAAAAAATACATGCACCTGAACAAAGAATGGCAGCATGCTTCTGGTGAGCACCATGCAAGCTATGAGACAATGGAGTATTATCTCTAAATCACTTTATGAAATAACAAACCCTGCAACCTATAATTCTGTTTTCATCCAAAAACATTATCAAAAATGAAGGCAAATAACGACCATTTCAGACAATCCAAATCAAAGGTAATTTTATCATCTGTAGACCTGTCTTCTGGAAACATTAAAGGAAGTTTGAGGGCAGCAGGAAAATAATGCAAAGCTTAAGTGTGGGTCTGTACAAAAGAATGATGTTCTGAACATGGTGAATGTGAGTAAATATAAAAGGTATTTTTGTCTTTTTAAAATCTTTGAAAAAGGGATGGCTGCTTAAAGCCAAAGTAATAACTAACATGTTTGGAGTTTATGATATAGTTACAAGTAAAGTGTGATGACAATAACACTTACATGTGGTTATTATTATTTTTTTGAGAGGGAGTTTCACTCTTGTTGCCCAGGCTGGAGTGCAACATGGCACGATTTTGGCTCACTGCAACCTCTGCCTCCTGGGTTCAAGCAGTTATTTTGCCTCAGCCTCCTGAGTAGCTGGGATTACAGGCATGTGCTGCCACACCCAGCTAATTTTGTATTTTTAGTAGAAACGAGGTTTCTTCATGTTGGTCAGGCTAGTCTTGAACTCCCGACCTCAGGTGATCTGCCTGCCTCGGCCTCCCATAGTGCTGGGATTACAGGCGTGAGCCACCACACTCAGCCTGTGTGAATTTTTTTTTTTGAGACGGAGTTTCGCTCTTGTTACTCAGGCTGGAGTGCAATGGTGCGATCTCGGCTCACCGCAACCTCCGCCTTTTGGTTTCAGGTAATTCTCCTGCCTCAGCCTCCCGAGTGGCTGGGATTACAGTCACGCGCCACCATGCCCAGCTAATTTTTTGTATTTTTAGTAGAGACGGGGTTTCACCATGTTGACCAGGATGGTCCTGATCTCTTGACCTCATAATCCACCCGCCTCAGCCTCCCAAAGTGCTGGGATTACAGGCTTGAGCCACCGCACCCAGCCGTGAATTTTTAAATATAATTCAGTAGACTGCATCATCTGATTCAGAAGCCTCTTCCTTCAGGGCTCAGGGTCACTTGAATTTGTAGCAGGCACATGACAAAAATGGTATGTACTGTGGATCTGCATGTGTGCTGAATATTCCCTATTTCTTCAGATCCCTTTTCTCCCATTTTATGCTCTGCTCCCCCAGAGGCTGTCTTCTAAAGAGACTACTTCACTGGGGTTTCTTCATAGGTTTTAACAATGGGAGATACCAGATAGAGATCAGGTGAGAGGAGAAAAAAAAATATTGATTACCTTTCCCTTTCTTCTGCCTGGACCATGGATCAGGCAGTTTCTGTGTTCTCGTAAGGATACAGCTCCCTTTGGGAAGCCCCCATCTGTGGTGGTAGAGCTCTCTGTTTCAGCTGGCCCCATTTTCTCTCCCTGATCCTCAGACTTAACTACTACTGGTGCTTCCCCAGCCCACTAGGTGGGCTTCGTTCGTTGTGAACACACTTTTGTAAATAGTGCCTTTATTGACTATTCTTGAGTTAATCTTTTGAATGTGCCATTTTTTTTTTTTTTTTTGGTGCCATCTGTTAAATGATGAGCATTTAATAAAATTGTGATAATCGTTTTCGGTACAAGTGCCTCATAGTGCATAGGCTGACATGTCTCAAGATTCCCCACATTAAATACCAGTATTTTCTATCTGTATTTTGACAATGCAGTAGAAATTATAACAAATACAAAGTTCTTTGTGCTTTTCTGCTGCATATGTCAATGGCTCTGGAGATCGTTACCATCTGCTGCATATGTACATGGACTTGCAGTTATGACTAAGCCTCTCTTCAGTATAGAAACCAAAACACTTCTGAAGTCTTTCACTACCTCTGGGTTAGCCAAACAACCTTCAAAATGTATTGTTATTTAAGTATGCATGGACAAGAAACAAGATAATCAGTTACTGAGTGAAGAAAGAAGGGAATGATGTACCATATTTCCCAGCTTTCTAAAGTGTTATGCTGCACAATAAAAATGTCCGTGTCCCATCATCTGCTGTTATTCATTGTGTATAATTCATGTAATCTGTAATCTGTGGGCAAGTCTTTACACTTCACTAGTCAGGATTACTGTAGAGACTTTGTCAAGGGCTTTATACCACCTTTCCCATCTGGCATAGTTCTCACCACAAATACTATGCCAGAAAGAAAGTCAGCTTTTATAAGGTCAAACCAGAGTTGCTTCACTTACAATCTTAATGGCGCTAATAAATTAAATTGATGTAGACCCACCAAAGAGGCCCAGAGCAGAGGCCAGCATCCCCTATCATTTTCTGAATTTCTCCTGTAAGAATTTTGCCTTCCTTTATCTTCTGTCAGTCATTCCCTCCAGCTGGCACATAAACCTCATTTGAAGGGAAATAACGGCCATTGGGCTTCACTGCAGTGCTTTTTTTTTTTTTCACTTGGATTTGCATTTCAACCTGCATTGTGAAGATCTTTATATATGTTTTCTATTTTGGACAGCTCCAGGAGGCTTCATTCCCATTGTAGTCTATGTTAATATACTCTTGTGTCACTCTGCTCTGCTCTTCTAGAAATTAACTAGCAAACAAAACGAATATGGTGGAACCTTGGCATAATTTGAATGTAGCATTGTGAGTTGCCTGTAACCGATTCTTCATAATTGTGCTGTAATAACCTATGTATGAGAATAAAATGGTTTGCACCACCAGGATTCTCCCGTGCCCCCCTTTATTTTGCCACATATATATATATATTTTAATTGCATTTTAGGTTTCGGGGTACATGTCAAGAACGTGCAAGATACTTGCATAGGTACACACGTGGCAGTGTGATTTGCTGCCTTCCTCCCCTTCACCTGTATCTCGCATTTCTCCCCATGCTATCTCTCCCCAACTCCCCACCCCCCACTGTCCCTCCCCTATTCCCCCCAGCAGACCCCAGTGTGTAGTGCTCCCCTCTCTGTGTCCATGTGTTCTCATTGTTCAACACCCGCCTATGAGTGAGAACATGCGGCATTTCATTTTCTGTTCTTGTGTCAGTTTGCTGAAATGATGGTCTCCAGGTTCATTGATGTCCCTACAACGAACACGAACTCATTATTTTTGATGGCTGCATAATATTCCATGGTGTATATGTGCCACATTTTCCCTGTCCAGTCTATCATCGATGGGCATTTGGGTTGCTTCCAGGTCTTGGCTATTGTAAACAGTGCTGCAATGAACATTCATGTGCATGTGTCCTTATAGTAGAACGATTTATAATCCTCTGGATATATACCCAGTAATGGGATTGCTGGGTCAAATGGAATTTCTAGTTCCAGGTTCTTGAGGAATCGCCACACTGTCTTCCACAATGGTTGAACTAATTTACACTCCCACCAACAGTGTAAAAGTGTTCCTATTTCTCCACATCCTTTCCAGCATCTGTTGTCTCCAGATTTTCTAATGATTGCCATTCTAACTGGCGTGAGATGGTATCTCAATGTAGTTTTGATTTGCATTTCTCTAATGAACAGTGATGATGATCATTTTTTCATATGTTTGTTGGCCTCATGTATGTCTTCTTTTGTAAAGTGTCTGTTCATATCCTTTGCCCACTTTTGAATGGGCTTCTTTGTTGTGTTCTTGTAAATCTGTTTTAGTTCTTTGTAAATTCTGGATATGAGCCCTTTGTCAGATGAGTAAACTGCAAAAATTTTTTCCCATTCTGTTGGTTGCCGATTCACTCTAATGACTGTTTCTTTTGTTGTGCAGAAGCTGTGGAGTTTGATTAGGTCCCATTTGTCTATTTTGGCTTTTGTTGCCAATGCTTTTGGTGTTTTGGTCATGAAGTTCTTGCCTACTTCTATGTTCTGAATGGTTTTGCTTCTAGGGTTTTCATGGTATTAGGTCTTATGTTTAAGTCTTTAATCCATCTGGAGTTAATTTTAGTGTAAGGTGTCAGGAAGGGGTCCAGTTTCTGCTTTCTGCACATGGATAGCCAGTTTTCCCAACACCATTTATTAAACAGGGATTCCTTTCCCCATTGCTTGTTTTTGTCAGGTTTGTCAAAGATCAGTTGGTTGTAGATATGTTGTGTAGCCTCCAAGGCCTCTGTTCTGTTCCATTGGTCTATATCACTGCTTTGGTATGAGTACCATGCTGTTTTGATTACTGTATCCTTGTAGTATTGTTTGAAGTCTGGTAGGGTGATGCCTCCTGCTGTGTTTTTTTGTTTTTGTTTTTGTTTTTTTTTCTTAGAATTGACTTGGCTATGTGGGCTCACTTTTGGTTTCATATGAAGTTTAAGATGGTTTTTTCCAGTTCTGTGAAAAAGGTCATTGGTAGCTTGATGGGGATAGCGTTGAATCTGTAAATTACTTTGGGCAGTATGGCCATTTTCACGATATTGATTCTTCCTAACCATGTACATGGAATGTTTCTCCATCTGTTTGTGTCCTGTTTTATTTCGTTGAGCAGTGGTTTGTAGTTCTCCTTGAAGAGGTCCTTTATGTTCCTTGTTAGTTGTATTCCTAGGTATTTTATTCTCTTTGTAGCAATTGTGAATGGTAGTTCATTCTTGATTTGGCTCTCTTTAAGTCTGTTATTGGTGTATAGGAATGCTTGTGATTTTTGCACATTGATTTTGTATCCTGAGACTTTGCTAAAGTTGCTTATCAGTTTCAGGAGTTTTTGGGCTGAGACGATGGGATCTTCTAGATATACAGTCATGTCGTCTACAAATAGAGACAATTTTGACTTCCTCCTTTCCTATTTGAATACCATTTATTTCTTTTTCTTGCCTGATTGCTCTGGCTAGAACTTCCAGTACTATATTGAATAGGAGTGGTGAAAGAGGACATCCTTGTCTAGTGGCAGATTTCAAAGGGAATGCTTCCAGTTTTTTCCCATTCAGTATGATATTGTTTGTCATAAATAGATTTTATTATTTTGAGATACATTCCATCAATACCTAGTTCATTGAGGGTTTTTGCATAAAGGACTGTTGAGTTTTGTCAGAGGCCTTCTCTGCATCAATTGAGATAATCATGTGGTTTTTGTCTTTGGTTTTGTTTATGTGGTGAATTATGTTTATAGACTTCCATATGTTGAACCAACCTTGCATCCTCGGGATGAATCCTACTTGATCATGGTGGTCAAGCTTTTTGATGTGCTGTTGCAATCAGCTCGCCAGTATTTTATTCAAGATTTTTGTGTCTATGTTCGGCATGGATATTGGCCTGAAGTTTTCTTTTCTTGTTGAGTCTCTGCCGGGTTTTGGTCTCAGGATGATGTTGGTCTCAAAAAATTATTTGGGAAGGATTCCCTCTTTTTGGAATATTTGGAATAGTTTCAGAAGGAATGGTACCAGCTCCTCTTTTTGTGTCTGGTAGAATTCGGCTGTGAACCCATCTGGACCTGAGCTTTTTTGTGTGTGGTAGGCTCTTAATTGCTGCCTCAACTTCAAATCTCGTTATTGGCCTGTTCAGGTTTTCAGCTTCTTCCTGGTTTAGGCTTGGGAGGATGCAAGTGTCCAGGAATTTATCCATTTCTTCTATGTTTACTAGTTTATGTGGATAGAGTTGTTTCTAATAATCTCTGATGATGGTTTGAATTTCTGTGGAATCTGTGGTGATATCCCCTTTATCGTTTTTTGTTGCATCTATTTGGTTATTCTCTCTTTTCTTTTGTATTAATTTTGCTAGTGGTCTGTCTATTTTGTTGATTTTTTCGAAAAACCAGCTCCTGGATTTATTGATTTTTTTGAAGGGTTTTACGTGTCTCTATGTTTTTCAGTTCTGCTCTCATCTTAGTTATTTCTTGTCTTCTGCTAGGTTTTGAGTTTTTTTGATCTTGCTCCTCTAGCTCTTTCAATTTTGACGATAGGGTGTCAATTTTGGAACTCTCCTTGCTTTTCATGTGGGCACTTACTGCTATATATTTTCCTCTGGAGACTGCTTTAAATGTGTCCCAGAGATTCTGGTATGTTGTGTCTTTGTTCTTGTTGGTTTCAAAGAACATCTTTGTTTCTGCCTTCATTTCATTGTTTATCCAGTCAACATTCAAGAGCCAGTTCAGTTTCCATGAAGCTGTGCGTTTCTGAGTTAGTTTCTGAATTCTGAGTTCTTACTTTATTGCACTGTGGTCTGAGAGACTGTTATGATTTCCGTTCTTTTGCATTTGCTGAGGAGTGAATTACTTCCAATTATATGGTCAATTTTAGAGTAGGTGTGATGTGGAGCTGAGAAGACTGTATATTCTGTGGATTTGGGATGGAGAGTTCTGTAAATGTCTGTTAGGTTTGCTTGTTCCAGGTCTGAGTTCAAGTCCTGGATATCCTTGTTAATTTTCTGTCTGGTTGATCTAATATTTACAATGGGGTATTAAAGTCTCCCACTATTATTGTGTGGGAGTCTAAGTCTCTTTGTAAGTCATTAAGAACTTGCCTTATGTATCTGGGTGCTCCTGTATTGGGTCAGTATATATTTAGGATCATTAGCTCTTCTTGTTGCATCGATCCTTTTACTATTATGTAATGTCCTTCTTTGTCTCTTTTGATCTTTGTTGCTTTAAAGTCTAATTTATCAGAGACGAGAATTGCAACTCCTGCTTTTTTTTGCTCTCTATTTGCTTGGTAAATCTTCCTCCATCCCTTTATTTTGAGGCTTTGTGTATCCTTGCATGTGAGATGGGTTTCCTGGATACAGCAGACTGATGGGTTTTGGCTTTTTATCCAATTTGCCAGTCTGTGTCTTTTGATTGGGGCATTTAGTCCATTTACATTTAGGGTTAATATTGTTATGTGTGAGTTTGATCCTGCCATTTTGATGCTAGCTGGCTGTTTTGCCCGTTAGTTGATGCAGATTCTTCATTTTGTTGATGCTCTTTACCATTTGGCATGTTTTTGGAGTGGCTGGTACTGGTTGTTCCTTTCTATGTGTAGTGCCTCTTTCAGGAGCTCTTGTAAAGCAGGCCTGGTGGTGACAAACTCTCTGAGTACTTGCTTGTTCACAAAGGATTTTATTTTTCCTTCACTTATGAAGCTTAGTTTGGCCGGATATAAGATTCTGGGTTGAAACTTCTTTTCTTTAAGGATGTTGAATATCGGCCCCCACTCTCTTCTGGCTTGTAGGGTTTCTGCTGAGAGATCTGATGTGAGTCTGATGGGCTTTTCTTTGTGGGTAACCCAACCTTTCTCTGTGGCTGCCCTTAGCATTTTCTCCTTTCTTTAAACCCTAATCTGACAATTATGTGCCTTGGGGTTACTCTTCTTGAGGAATATCTTTGTGGTGTTCTCTGTATTTTCTGGACTTCAATATTGGCCTGCCTTGCTAAGTTGGGGAAGTTTTCCTGGATAATATCCTGAAGAGTATTTTCCAGCTTGGATTCATTCTCTTCGTCACATTCAGGTACAGCTATCAAATGTAGATTAGGTCTTTTCACATAGTCTGATATTTCTTTTTTTTTTTTTTTTTTTTTGAGATGGAGTTTCGCTCTTGTTACCCAGGCTGGAGTGCAATGGCCCGATCTTGGCTCATTGCAACCTCTACCTTCTGGGTTCAGGCAATTCTCCTGCCTCAGCCTCCTGAATAGCTGGGATTACAGGCACATGCCACCATGCCCAGCTAATTTTTTGTATTTTTAGTAGAGACAGGGTTTCACCGTGTTGACCAGGATGGTGTTGTTCTCTTGACCTCATGATCCACCTTCCTCAGCCTCCCAATATGCTGGG